TTTTTGTAGTTGAAATTATATCTAGGGACAGAGATTCAAGAGAGAAAAGTTGATCCATTAATAGAGGATAGAATGAATGCTGACTCTGTTACCTGGGATTCTGAGTGTACTTGGCTAATTGGTTCTCAGCAAGAAAGAAAAGAAGGTGGATGCTTCGAAATTATAAAAGTCCCATAGAAATAGCAGCTGATGAGTATGAGGTGATGCTTGGAAAAGCAAAACATGGAAAATCTGACCACATGAAAACCTTGCAGCTTTCCTTTCCTCCTTTCCCTTTCTGATGGCCCCTCTCCTCCCCTCCCTTCCTCTTCCTCTGGAGGCAGAGGCAGGCGAATCTCTGTGAATTTGAGGCCAGCCTGGTCTACATAGTGAGTTCCAGGCCACCCAGGGCTATAGTGTGAGACCCTATCTAAAAAAAAAGTCCTTTTGATTCTGCCCTTCCAGTTCTGTCTCCTAATCTCCCTTGAATACATTGTTTTCCTCCTCTACTGTGGCTTTCATTCAGGGCATCCTAAAAGATCACTGCAGTAAACTTGTAAAGAGTTTTCACTCTTAAAGTGATTTCCTATTCCCCAGTGTCCTTAAGAGTTTTATTTTTAGGGCTGGCATATGGTTCAAAGATATTAGGGAAGTTACACTTCTTCACACACCCCAAATTTTCCCCAAATATTCTACTACCAGCTTAATATATAGTATTTCTGTACATCCTCACAGTGATTTATTGTCAAGTCCCTTAGATGTACTCACTGGATAAATGAAAAAATATAATTGTTTCATGTTTCCTAATGAAGATGAGTAACTTTTCACATGTATAAGCATTTATTTTTCTCTTCTTTGAGGCAGCCTGTGGGCGTCCCTTGCCAATTTTTTGAATGGAGCATGCATTTTGTAAGATTTTCAAGCAAGGAATAATATCAAATTGGTGCTTAAGAAATAAAACTCTTGGGGCTGGAGAGTTGGCTCTGCAGTTAAGAGCACTGACTCCTTTTGCAGAGGACCGGGGTTCAATTCCCACCACCCACATGGCAGCTACAAACCATCCTTACTCCAGTTCCAGGGGAATCGGAAACCCTCTTCTGACCTCCGCGGCATTGCACGACACGGGTGCACTCACAGACATGCAGGCAATACATTCATACACAAAAAATAAAAATAAAAAAATATTTTTTTAAAAAAAAAAGGAGGCAGAAGCAGGTGGATCTCTGTGAGTTCAAGGCCAGCCTGGTCTACATAGTGAGTTCCAGGACAGCAGGGGCTACAGGGGGACCCTGTCTCAAAAAGACCAAAAAAAAAAAAAGTGAAGAGTTGCAGATTAAAAAGCTCATGGGCCAAAAAGAAAAGAAAGTAGAAAGGAAGAGAAAGGGGAGGAGGGATAAGTCCATCAGATATCTCGGCTATCTTTGGACCCAAGACCATTGTTTTTTTGTTTTTTTGTTTTTTTGTTTTTTTTGTTTTTTTGTTTTTTTCCGCCCCCGCTGTCCTGGATTCACTATGGAGACCAAGCTGGTCTCGAATTCAGAGATCTGCCTGCCTCTGCCTCCTGAGTGATTTTTTTGTGCACATGGGGGTTTGCTTCTTTTTTTTTTTTTTTTTTTTTTTTTTTTTTTTTTTTTTTTTTTTTTTTTTTTTTTTTTACAAATCTCTAGGACATGGAAAGTGAGACTGTACTATATATATATTTAGATTTGGAACCTTTGTGAGGTTAGGTTTATCAGTTTGTCAGAGGTCACCAACTTATCTGCCTGAGAAAGGGGAGTGGAAAGTGCCAAAGCTCCACCTTGTGGGAAGATTAGTAGGGCCCCAAGAGGAGGAGCCCATGAAAGAACAGGCAGGTGTTCCTGAAAGTGCCAATTGGTGGTTGTCTTGGTGGAATGGGGCTACAGCAGTCACATCTTCTCATTTTGCCAAAAAAGCGGAACATTTTGATTTTTATATGAAATCTTTACATCTTGAAACTTTGGTGATCATGTGCAAAAACAAAATTATTGTGGACCAAACAACAGATCTTTAGGGCTTTTCTGACCTGTGGGTCATGGGATGGTGCAAATTTGTGGGCTTTTCATCATTTTAAGAAAGGCCCTCCTTCCTCCAAGATAACTTCATCCCCTATGGGCTCAAGTATTGAACACTTGGTCCCCAGTTGATGGCACTGTTGGGGAGGTCATGGAATCTTTAGGAGGTGCAGCTTTGCTGGAGGAAGTGTGTCCCTGGGAGCCAGCTTTGAGAGTTCACAGCTTTGCCCCACTTCCAGTTTGCTCTCTTTCCACTTTGTGTTTGTGGTTGAAGATGGGAGCATTCAGCTTCCTTACTCCAGCCACCATGCCTGCCTGTTGCCATGCCTCCTCCACCATTATGGACTCTCATAAGCTCTTTCTTCCCTAAGTTTATTTGGGTCATGGTGTTATGTTACAGCAACTGAAAAGTAACTAATATGCCCTATGCCTTTTTTTTCCCTCCACAATTCCCTTCCCTCCTGCATCTACCCCTCACCCAATTGTAGCTTTTAAGTCCACTGATGTTCTGGCTTTATTTCACTCCTCCCATGCTTTTGAAGGAATTTTTACCTTGTTAAATAATTTCATTTATGTTGTAAGGAGTAAGTTATTTGATTTTGTTATAAGGAATAAGATGAGGATTTAGCATAATTTTGTACAATTAAGTAGCCCATTGTTCCACTATCATTTAGTGAGCACTCTTTTTTTCCAGTGTTTGAAATGCATCCAGGGCACTTCCATCCATCACATCCTAAATGCCTGTGCATCTTTAGGTCAGTCTTTGGACTCAAGGTTTTTCCATTGATCTGCCTTATCTATAGATGTTATTACACTGGTACTCATTATCTTTCCTTGGAGAGAGACAGGATTTTTTTAACTTTATTTGACACCAAACATTAGTTCTTATCCTGACTGTAGATTTTTAAAATATTTTATTTACTATTTTTTTATTTTATGTGTATGAGTGTTTTGCCTGCATGTTTGTAAGGGCACCCCTGCATGTAGTGCCCACAGAAGCCATGAGAGGGTGTCAGATCCCTTGGAACAGGAGTTACAGATTGTGCTGGAAATTGAATTCAGGTCCTCTGGAAGAACAGCAAGTGTTCTTAACTGCTGAGCCATCTCTCCAGCCCCAACTGTAGATTTTTAAATGTGGTACTAGGGATACAAGTTACCACATTGAAGAGCTTGTTTGGTGACTCCTCGTCTTCATGATGTTTTCTGGACAAATGCACACAGGTACAGTGTACCGTGCTTACTCCTTCGATCCATATAGCTTTGTTGATCCTGGTATCAATGCACAGGTCTGAGTCCCCATCTCCTTCAAGCCAAATCTCTGGATTTCTTCAGTGCCTCAGTGGCACACTTTCTGAAGCCTACTCTGAGGATGTGCTTCTAAATGTGGATGATTTATTCTCAGGTCACCATCTCATCTCATTGATGGCAGAACGGCCCTTCCTTTTCTGGCCACCCTTTTTTTGTGGGAGCCATTCTGCTGGGCCCAAGTTGGAATGGAAGCTCTTTTCATTTTGCTTTGTTTGTTTGGAAGGGCAATTTGTTAGTATATTTATGAGCAGAAAACTCAGTGTTGTACATTTAACCCAGTTTGGTGGCAAGTTCTTTGGCCTTTGCCTTTTCCAGCTTGGCAAAGAGAGCCCCAGAGTTTGGACCCAG